TAAAGTGGATGGACCGGGCACCTTTCTTTTCCATAACGGGGTGCTCAAGAATAAATAAAATCTAGATGAAAAACAGGCTGCACAAGCAAACCTCAGAGGGACATGACCACAAGGATTTCTGCTAGCGCTCTGTTCATCGGGGGATTCTCATTAAAAGAGATGGACATGTGCGCCCACAGCTGTAAGGTAGCCTGTGGCTATTGCCATGTTGTTTTCTGTTGTCTGAAATAACAGCTGGGAAGCTGGATCCAATAGACAAACCAGTGACAAAATGCATGTCCACAATTAATGCCAGACGGACCAGATCTGCCTCCTGGATACTCTCTGCAAAGTTGTTGCCAGCAAAGTTAGCGTCCATGGCAGGTTACCAGACTAGCTCTGTTAGAAATCACTGAACTCTCACATCCAGATGCAAAGTCTTTAGACTCTGGGGCAGTTCTCAGGTAGCCAGACCAATAAACCCAAAAAAGCAACGTTTTTTCAGTATTTGAGTACATTTACAATTGAAACGTGTCTGTGTGTCTGTGTGCAGCAGCTCATAAACATGTCAGGTGCACCTCGAAGCTGTCAGAGTCCTGCAGGACTGGAGGTAAAGAGTCAGGGTCGTTATCAGTTTTTAAAGTCACATTTTATTGACCATTAAATCAGTGTGATTTTCACTGTTCTCAATAACAAGTTAACACAGCAGAGCTCTTTAACATCGTGCTTGTCTGTAGTTCGTGGGTAATGCTTTTCTCTGCCTCTGAAACTGCGTCTCGGATGAAAATATCCACTGTCGGACAATCAAGACTCGATCGTTTCTAAATGACTTGCAACACAATGTTTCCTGGAATAAAAAAAGATTCCCTCACCCTCTAAAACGTTTCTCCAGCTGGGCCGGACTTGGCTTTTAACTTCAACCCCGCGTGGAGCCGTTATTGTTTTCATGCACGGGTGGAGAAGTGTTTGTAATTACATGTGGAATTGAAGATAACTGCTAAATAAATGAAAGCATCTTGTGGATGTTTATCGTGGTCGTCTGTGGCTCTGGCGTGAATTCAAAACACAGTAAAATCCCCAGAAACATTTAAATGATCCACGTGTACAAATCACTTTCATTGATATTGCTGATGTTATTTTTAACCATCATGAAACAGGTTTATGTAATTTCTCCACATAAAGAACAAACTGAGCTCACCGTAAATTAACTCTGAACTATATGTCACGTCTGGGTGAAAAAAGATGCCTTGAAGTTAATCGGTGCGTTCAGTCCTAACCGTGGCAGCACACTCAGTGTGGGGCATGCGGAGGGGGTGGCAGGAAGACAGCTCCAACACCTCCAGGACACGCGATCAAAGAGGCTGGCGCACAGACAGCTGCGGCGGCGCACTTAACAAATCACACGGCACGGACCGGCCCCGGCTGCGCAGGGGTCGCAGACTCCCCAAACAGGTGTTTTCTTCACATCAAACCCACAGCGGCTCTTTCAGCTCGATGGAAAAAGCCACGAAAGGACTGTGATGATGAAGATGACAATGCAGTCATCTTTCAGCTGTCAGATTCCCAATGAAGGATGTATTATGACATTATTGGTGACTCATGTAGGATTTGTGCATTTCGCAAAAGACATGAGAAGAGAGATGAATTAATCATGAGACATGAAGTGAGTCAATGAACAATTTTACAGCCATCAGGACGACTGCATCACTATAAATAAGGCGGTTTGATTGAATGAAGCCTTGGGGTCCAAGCAGTTGGATCAAAGTGTTCTCTGTGGATGGGGCAGGGGCTTTGACATTTACGTCATAAGAGCCCATATTTAGGTTTCAGCATGAAATGTGTTAGTAAGTGCCAAATGGCTAACAAAACTGCAGGAATCGGAGCGTTGCATCCACGTGGCGAGCTGGTATCACATCCGAACAAGGCCCAAAGTTTACAGCAACGTGTCCTCCAGCCTCCATCTAAAGATGGCTCCACGAACACGTTTCTGCTCACTGGTCTTGGGCTCTGATGGAGCCGCCTGACAGGAAGGAAATGGCACGGCTTTGGTCTCTATTTGCTATTTATTACAGCAGCATTTCTCAGAGGCACCAGAGGAAGGATTTGGTGCTTGTGTGTAATTGTATTAACGCCCTCCCACATACTGTCCCCTGTGCATCTTCTGTCTCCTCTCCTAATCTGTGCTGTTTGTCTCCAGATAAGTGATATCCTCCTCAGATTAGGATCCGGTGTCCCTGCTCTGCCTGCCCGAAGGCAAAGGGATCCCCGGCGTATCCCGTGGGGCGTGAGCAGTATTTTTAGCTTCCTAATCCTTTTACAGTTTGGGCTGAAAACATCACCCTTTTGCCTAATTGGTCCAGTTCATTACCGCACAGAACGCCACAGAGGAAGTGCTTCATCTGGATCCTTTTTTTACAATGTGCTGGTTTTTGGTGGGGCATAAATTTCCGAGCCGGATTCGTCTGTTCCTAAGCAACTTTGATTTGTGTTAGGGAGGCTATCACCGATTTTATTGCCCTGCAGAGCAAAGACATCTCCTATCATGCTGGAAACACTGATAGGATCTGTACATCATCAAAAACAACCCGACCCCCCCACGCACATATTTTCAACGGAGTTTAAGTTCACAACCTTTTGAACTGATGTCGGCTGCAGATGATTTTTAACGATCCCACAACAGGCCAAACTTTGTTGAATAACGCATGATCCAGCCTAAGAAGAACTTTCCTGCTAAGTCTGCAGAGACATCCTGACGTGAGAGCAGAGCTGTTGTAATCTTTGGCTTAGGGCGTGTTTTCTTAGCTTATCAGCATCCCCACGTGTACGGGGATCATTTATTTCCCAAATAAAAACAGCAATCACTGTCTCTGTTCTCAGAGCACGAATGTACGAGACGATACGACATGAAAAATAGATTTCTGACCTTTTTATTGTGTCAGCAGTTTAGAGCTCTGTACTGTAACCACGGCCAAGTTGACCCCCGTCCCCGAAATTCACAGCGAATTCAATTAAAGCAGCTCGGACGCCTCCATCAGTCTCTGAACAACCTGCAGTTCTCACACAGTGTTTGCTGCTTTAAAAGAAAACACGAGAGAAGCTCTGGAAGAAAAAACATTTCTTTCTTTTCTGGCATGAAGTCAGACGAGTTGGAGACTTTGCTCGGTTCAGCCTGTTAACTGATACAGCAGGTGGCCTGAGGCCTGAACACAAAGCACATTTCAATCAGTGAATTTTGATTATCGTGAACAAACTTTCCCTGCTTGATTGCACTTCTAAACTGCAAGAAACTTTCGCCAGAGCCAATCTGTCAAGTCTTGCACACGGTACGCAGATGTTTTCAAAGCCCAGCATCAGCCATCGTGTAGCTAATTTCGATTCTCTCTATCAACAGCTACAACTGAAAAATGCCTTTCACGTGTGACTACTTGAGGAGTTCATCAAACCTTTGCTGAGCTTATCCAAAGCTGGTTCTTTGGAGCTCGAGTTGCTCAACATCCCGCTGAGTCCAAGATCTCTGACAGCTAAGATTGAGTGTGTGATTGCCAGAGACGAGCGAGGAATCTGCCAGACATTTTGCAACAAGCTGCAGTTAGAGGAGAGTTTAGTAATGGTGGTCCTGTTCAGAGCGTCAGAAAGGTGCTGAAAACTGAAAGAAGAAGAAATACTCGGGCATAAAGACGTATTCCCACAACAACAATGAAACTCGTCTCGTTCACGACACTGAGCGGTGTTTCCTCTGCAGCCTGGAGAGGCTGCAATCCTGAGCTCTACTCATCACATGCTCTCCACCAGTTCCCCTCATCTTCAATGATGGCGCCATGCTGTGCTTCAGTATTCTTTATTGTTCAGTACTGTGCATCATCACCATTGCTCCATATATTCTCATTGTCAGCCTTTAGTTCACTCCAGTGCCAAATAAAAGGTAATGAAGTCAATGACAGAGCGTGATATAACAGTGGGAGTCGTATATATGGATGAGAAAAGAAGCTTCTTCCTCATCCAAACCTGTGATAACCAAAAATAATCAAATTTTGAATGACTGTGAAATTATTATATACATTCCTTCTCAATAAATAGGTGCATTTAATATTAAATTAATATTTCTTTACAGATACATGGTATATACAGGTACATCCACTCAAAAACACCGACGACGTCCATCGATGACAGCGAGAACAACAGAAAGTAGAAACACTAGAAACAACCACGTTCTCATGACTGCTGTGGGTTTGAAGGCACTTCCTGGGCACCACGTCGACCCTTCTTCTGTTATTCTGGGACCTGCGATCAAAAGAAAA